CACTTCTTCCTCCTCCTCGTCTTCCTTCTTCTCCTCCTCTTCCTCCTTCTCCATCTGTGCGCTAATTTTGTCTTCTTTTTTTCCTCTTCTCCCGCTCCGCCTAAACAGATATATGCAAAGGCGGATGAAGGAAACGAAGGAAAATAAGGGAAAAAAGTATTTTTCACTTATGCACTATGTCTGTCTTTTCTTCCCTTCTTTTTCTTCTTCCCATTATTTTTATCTTCCTTCTCTATATCTATCCATGCCTGTCGTGCTTGGATGCATGTTTGTCTTTACCCCCCCCCCTCTCGCTCTCTCTCTCTCCATATATATATATATATATATATATATATATATATATATATAGAGAGAGAGAGAGAGAGAGAGAGAGAGAGAGAGAGAGAGAGAGTGTAGTATATATACATACACATATATTTATGTATATGTACATACATTTATATGCGCGTATGCATGTATATATTTGTATGTAAATGTATACACACACACTGACATATATATAAATATATACATATATATATATAAATGTAAATATATGTACATATATGTGTGTGTGTGTTCGTGTGCGTGTGTGTGTGTGCGCGCGTGTTTGTATTTGTGTCTGTATAACTTCACTATTACTGTTACTAGGAGGGAAGGAAGGAAGGAAGGGAGGTAGGGAGGAAAGGAAGAAGGGGGAGGAGGAATGCTAAGAAAGTGAATGAAGAGAGAAAGGAGAGAAGAAAGGAAGGAAAAATAAACAAATTCAATTTCAAATTCAAACAAACAAAATTAAGCCACAAAGGAATCACACTCTCAGGTAGTTACACAGAACAAGGTCTTATACGCATTTCCATGGCATTAAATTAGTTAAATTTGCATATATAGAAATGATAATTAACGAAGAATGTGGTCTATTGTTTACTCACGAAGCAGATATTTAATACATCGATAATAAATGTACTTTCAGCAGTCTCTTAAAAGGTGATAGAGATGAGAAGGAAGATTATTCCATACAAACGCATCATGATTGCAGATGCATAATTCAGAAAGCTTCGATTTAATGAACTATTAACGCATCTAGGAATCGAAGGAAATGAGTATCAGATTTTTTTTTAAGTGGAATATGTTGTCGTTGTATATGTTAATGTTAAGTTCATTGGCTTTTAGCAATCTGAGAGTGAAAAGACTATCGTGAATGTAAAAATAAATACGTTATCTGGTGATCGGTCTACTTACTCTTTTGTGAACATTGACGATAGGTTTAACTATGGTTTGGCAGACGGCTCCCCAGATCGTACCGTGTGTGACCTATGGATATATTAGCGAGTAGTTAATTTGCCTGTGGGTATTGATTGTGTGGGTTTCGAGTATGGTACTGCCCCCCCCCCCCATCCCTTGCTCGTTGTTGTCGTGGGGGGGGGTGGTATTAGGAGACGGGGACTGAGGCCGGATATAGAGACCGTCCCTGCCTTGGCCCTCTGCCCTCGCCTCAACTAATCTTGCATGGTCTTTTTTTCTCCCCTTTTTCCTTTTCCTTCTCTTCTTCGTCCCCTTCTTCTGTCCACTTATCCTAATCGTTAACTCATTTTTTACCCTTTTTATTACAATACGTAGTGCTATGTGGCCTTTGATGTCTAGCACTGAGTGGATTTCGACTGAGGTAAAATATTCAAGTTTGTTTGTTGTTGTTTTTGTCTTTGTAACAGACAGATAGACATGCTCTTTCCGATCGAGTTGCTCATCAATAATGATACCAAGGAATTTAGTAAATTGATTTCTTGATGTCATAAACCCCAGAATTTATGAAGACATTTCTTCAGTCCAGTTGTTGTTTCTGTTGTAAATAACATAATGAAATTTTTTTAGACCGAGAATTAGACTATTGCTTCGTAACCACTTTCTAGCAGCTACCAGCTCGTTATCAGTAGTTTTTAAGTCGTTAATTTTTCTTTCCTGATACATGAGGCAACAAGATGAAATCAATATGCCATTAATATAAAGTAATAATAATAGAGGACCTAATTTTAAACCTTGTGGGACTCCATGTATCGATAAGATGAGTTGTGATGACTGAATTGTGTATGTCTTCTGTGAAGAAATGGTGATCTGAACCCAGAGATTGGGTGTACCGGTAATACCATGCTAGGAGGCCAAAGTGATCGATTCTGTAAAGCCTTTGACACGTCTAAACAAACAGTCAAAATGAGTTATAGTCAAATGCGTTATAAACATATTTCACAGACGAATTTACGGCCGTTTTTGGTTTACTGTTTTCGAAATCCAAACTGAGACGAATATAATAATATTCTTTTACTCATTAAGATCAGTTTCATTTCTGGAATAGACCGCGGTTTCATATGTCGCTATGAGATCCAGAATCGTTGTAACTTAAGGTGAGTCTTGTCGTTTTAAGATTTAAAAGGAAATTCCAGGACTAAGGAGATGGCTAAATAAGCAAGGTTTTCGTAGAGATAAAATCACATAAATGGAGATAAGATAAATAAAAGAGATAAAGATAAATAAGATAACTGGAGAGAAATTATCAGAGTTCTGTGAGTTATTTTATTTTGCTTTTTTCCAGTTCTGATTCTTTTGCGGATTCAGATTAGAATAAATTGTTTATTGAATTTCCGAGATAATTTTCATAAGTTATCTGCTTTACGCTCCAATTTGTTCCTTTCCTTGATTAGGTGGTTTGTTCCAGGTATAATGTATAGTTTAGAAGAGGATTTTGAGTTCGGATTTCATAGGAGATAGGTTATACATAGCCGGGAATATGTGAAATAAATTCTCATACATTACATCTGGGTTGTGTGAGTAATGCTGTACTTAATTCACTATCACGGGAAACTTGTGATAGTGAATTAGATAGTTTGTTAGTATGTTGATTAAAACCTCTGTGTGTTGTATTCGTGTGTGTGTTTCGTGTTTATCATTAAGGTCAGATACTGAAAAAAATGAAAATCGTCTGAAACAGGAATAAACGATAGCAGAATAAAAGGTTTTGCAAGGTCATTCGTCCACACATGATCGAAGGGAATGAAGGAAGAGGGAAGGGAGGGAGGGAGGGAAGAAAGAATACCAAGGAGGGAGGGAGGGAAGGAAGAAGGAATTCCAGGGAAGGAAGGGAGGGAGGGAAGAAGAAATACCAAGGAGGGAAGGAAGAAGGCATTCCAGGGAAGGAAGGGAGGGAGGGAGGGAAGAAGGCATGCTAAGGAGGGGGGGAGTGAGGGAAGGAAAAAAAAATCCAGGGAAGGAAGGGAGGGAGGGAAGAAGGAAAGAAGGAATTCCATGGAAGGAAGGGAGGGAAGGAAGAAGGAAAGAAGAAATTCCAAGGAAGGAATGGAGGGAGGGAAGAAGACATACCAAAGAAGGAAGAGAAGGAGGGAAATAAACGACAAGTGATTCAAGGGAAGGGAAGGGACGGAAGGGAGGGAGGAGGGACAGGTGTCGCAGTAGGTCACGGGTGGGCGCACGCGAGGGAGGGGCGGAGGCTGAGTTCGAGTTACAACCGGTTGCCGGCGTGGTGGTGGCCTCTCGCTCGTGTCTCGCCGTTTTAACCGACTTACGACACACGACCGCTAACCGTACACGTGTATGTAACATGGCGTACACGCACACCTACAGGGAGATTTAATCTTTGCGGGATATAGCCTCAACCGTGTATGTACAGGCACATGCGCGCTTGCTTGTTCACTCACTCACTAAGCTGTGATGTTTCGAGTAAGAATAGATTCCTCCTCAGGTGTGTGTGTGTGTGTGTGTGTGTGTGTGTGTGTGTGTGTGTGTGTGTGTGTGTGTGTGTATGTGTGTGTGTGTGTTTGTGTGTGTGTGCAAGTCGAAGGAAAGGGGTGGTGGCGGTGATCGTGTGTGTGTGTGTGTGTGTATGTGCGTGCGTGCATGTGTATGTGTGTGTGAAAAGACAAGGAGTTAATAAAACTCGAGAGACAGACAGACAGACAGACAAAAAGATAAACAAGCAGAGATAGAGAGAGAGAATCGGTTTAGTATTTCCCTTATTTCTGTGATAGTGTCTGATTTCAACTTTGCACACACATTACTGTGTATGTTTGCGTCAGTGTGTGTGACTTAAAGTATCAATTCACACACTCACACAGATGCGTTCCAGTACTTTTTGCAGCTCGGAGCAAAATAATCTGCAATTATTCTTTGTACGAATACATCTACACTTAGCT